TTTTTCTTTTTTTTTTTTTTTTTTTTTTTTTTTATCGATTTCGTATATACTTTAATTTTCTCTATTTTTGAATCGAAAGATGTATATCAAAAAAGGTTATTATTAATTTTCTAGTTTATAGGAGAAAGTGATGAAATATTTCTAATTCATCCGTTGGTCTCTTTGACAGTAACAGTACATCTTATTCAAATGTTAATAAACGTTGATTTTTATATTACATATATTTAAAAATTAGGAAAATTAGGTGTCGATGTTCAAGGTCTTTTATTGTATTTTAATACAGTATAAAAGACGGAAATTGTTCGTAAAAGATTCCGTTCGTTAATTTTTTTCATATTCTTGGAAGTAGATGTAATTTCAAGTTTATTAACTGCTATAAAGAATAATAGCATGATTCTTTCGGAACAAGTTTATTTTCCAGTTATCTGCTTAAAAACAATGGATAAAGCTCTTTATTCAGTTATCTTCTTAGCTATTTCTCTTTGCTCGTTAATATTCTCAGTTATTTTTAGTTTTATTCGTATATTTTGCTCGACTATTATCAAAAGTAAAATATAAGAAATAAAATTCAACTTAATGATTTATCGCAATGGTAAATTAATATTTTGGATCTTGCGACGAAAAATTTCACTTAAAACGAGAGATTCGAATTAAGCAAAGAAGCGTCGCGTTAACCTCTGAATAATTGTCTGGAAGGACATACGTGATTATGTTCGTGCTTTGTTATTGTAACAAAAAGGTGGGTGAGTAATTGTTTGAAACTTCTGACAGATAGGACAGATACAACAGTTTGTTGTATTTAATTATCGCATAAGGAGGAGGAATATGGATTATCAGTTTAAATATTTGCTAGCGTGATGTCGATAATCGTGCCGGAATTAAGAACTTTTGTACGAATCGCTCGGAAATTTGTGTGCAGTCGAAAAACTTTCTATTGAAAATATTACTCAATACGTTTGGTTAATTAAAAAAAGTTTTTCAACTTTTTATTACTACATTACATTTTTTCGACCGAGAGTATTCATTCTTGTCGCATTACCATTTTCTCTTTTTCTTTTATCCTGTCGGATTATTTTTCATATTTTACCATTTCACGATATTACGGAATAAATATAAAAAATTTCATTCGCGACGGAAGCATAAAATTAAAATACATCGCAGAATTTATTATTTATTCTGCGACTTTAATTTCTACGTTTTTATCAGTCACAATTTTCCATACTCGTATTTAATCTGTTGGAATTAATTGATCCATGTCGGAAACTAAATAAAAAATTAATTACTCCGTGCGTTAAATTAAAATTAAAGTTATTGCATTTTTCGAGAAATTATAAAATAATCCTCGCGTTATTTTACAGCGAATATTTGATTTTCTTTCATTTTCCTAAATTCCTTTCTAAAATAATAATATGTTATTCGAAGTTTTTAAAAGATATAACATGAAAATATTTAAGACGGCTGATATTATTTTTCTCTTTTATAGCGTCTAATATTTCTTTACAGGAAGTTGCGTTCATTGTTTTGGATAGTGTCATGGCGTCGTTATCTGAATGTCTTGCGCAATGTTACATTTGCGTTCGTTGCAGTACAAAGAAAGAATAATTTTCAATATTAATACAATCAGCGAAAAAAATGCGGTCGTTGTAAATTATTCATTACATTAAATACAATACGTATGCGCCATAGTGTGTGTAATGCGAAATTCAGTATGTAATGCGGTTTGCTGTGAACCAACGAAATTATGTGGTTTTGCGTTATTATTTAACGACTTGATAAAAACTCGTGTTTACCACGATGTTATTAGATTATTGCTGGATTCTTGTATCTAGAACGGAAAAAATAACCGATGGAGGAATATTTTCTTATTTATTATCACGCGTGCTAAGAAAGCAATAGTTTCGTGACAAGATGTAAAAACGTAATACGAAACTTTATTACTATGTAAATTTTGTCCGAAATTGAAGTGAAAACTAACGATTTGGAACTGCGTTTCGATTTGTCATTTGCGATATAAGCGTTATTTGGAACGATACGATATATCGCTTTATTTGTAGTAACAGCAATTTCAAATAACCGTGTTATTTCGTTATCTTTTCATTTCAACTACCGATAAAGATAAGTGACTAATTGTTAGTTTTTTTGTAATATGGTAATGTCATTTCGGTTTCGTGATTAATGCAATTTTACGTATTTAAAATTTCAAAAATAAACCCTACTTATTACGTAAGTAATGTAACGAGGAATGTTTAATATAACCGCAGGTAATTAGGGAACGGACAGGAACATTTACTTGAGTTATGTTTTATTTTCTTATTTTCTAGTTGAAGATCAAAGAGTTTTATAATATAGGACAGAAATGGCTCTCGTTGCGAGGATTTTATGAATTTTATGAATTTTATGAAAGGTTCAGCTATTTATCGTCGCTCTGGAAGAATTTTTTTTTCACGTATTATGAGTAGGTATAAAAGAATGCAGTTTTGTTTTAACCAGCATAGAAATGCAAACTATGTATGTAACGCAAAATCAGCATTGTGCTGTTGCGTTATCTTGACACGTGAAACTGTAACGTTGCTGCGGAGTTTACTGTTTTATTAAAACGAATTAGAATTTTATCTCTTTATTCCGTTAACTCTCCTTGTTTTATAACGCGAAATAACGTTAGCGAAGAGACGAGAAAGCGAATGCTTTTTTAATTTACGTTTGTCTTCGTATTATGTACTTTAATATTGCTTTTAATTACTCTGGTATTTTCATTCAAGAGACCGAGCAATTCACTGTTCTTAATGTAATTAAATGTAATTAAATTTGGCATAAATAAATATTTGCATTGTTTAAAATTCCTTTATTTTACGCTTCTTTCTACGGCAATATATTTTGCTCGATGTAGAAAATTTCAAAACGCATAAATGTGCTGTTGCAATTTATTCATTTCGTAATTTCAATGTTATTAACGGTTGAAATTACTTAATTTTTTACAGATTCGGCACATTAGGCAACAGGAAGGCTCGAATAGTCATGCCGTACAACAGGGGGAAGTGTCTTCTTCGAATCCTAACATACTGTCCAACGATCAAGTTGGTCCTGTTTTACTCGAGGTACAATTCAATTTAAATCGAATTCCATCAATCTATTCTATTCTTGTTGCTTTCGTTCATTGATATATGAACGCTTGAAGCACTCGGCTCGTTTTTGTTCCTGTTTACCGACTACTTACGAGAACATAGGTGAAGGTCTAGTTCATCAAGGTACTTTGTTAAACTTAATCGAACTGAAGTTTGGACGGGTCATTATTTAAGCGAAATTTATACAATTCTTTTTTCCTTTTCAACTAGACGCGACGCATTAAATTCTTTTCGGCCACATTTCTTGCCTATAATCGAGTCGCCTACGGTCCGCCTAACAATTTCTCTCGTGAATTATTTACAAGAAAATAGATCTCGATCAAACGAACGATCCCGTAAACGTCTTAAAGTCGAAAGTCGAATCGCAGAAATATCACAGAGTGACGTGAATTTGCGTAACAGAATAAACGTACCGCTAATTAAATACGAAGTAGACGAGTTCTTCAGCCGCGTACCCTTAAACTTTTTAATATCGGGTATCATAGGAAGAGGAAAATAAAACGTGATTTAACACCCAGATAAATTACCGAGCCTTCACATAAAACCTTTCGTCTAATCAATATTATATTTCTTGCCTGGTCGTTGTAGACCATCATTAACATTCAGCACGAACGTGCTGCTAGAATCTAACTTGACTCGAAATTTTTGCCCAGGCGCTAGATGGCTTTCTATTTGTTGTAAATACGGAGGGACGAGTGGAGTACGTAACAGATAACATAACGCAGTACATAAATTACACGAAGGACGATGTGCTCGGCAAGGATATTTATAATATTATTCATCATGGAGACCACAACACCTTCATGCCGAGCTTGTTGCCTATGCCATTAGGTTCGTATACCTTCCGAATACAGTCTCACTCTCTTTCATCTTGAACATCACCGTTTTACCTTCCACGCTAACTTTTTTCCTCCCTTTTCTCATTTTTCTCTCCCCTCTTTCTCTCTTTCTTTCTTTCTTTCTTTCTTTCTTTCTTTCTTTCTTTCTCTCGCGTGCTTTTTTCTTCCTCCTTTTTTCTTTTTCTCCTTAAACGAAGAGTGGAAGATGTATGGAGATTAAATCTCCTTTGGAGTGGAACGTCTTTCGTCCTCGCGAGCACACGATAAAACGATTATTTATGAGTGCGTTTCGTATGCGTCGGGGGTAGTTATGATAATGTAACTTTAGCATCTATTTACCGGGCGGCGTGCACGTGTACTTTTCAGTTTATCTCGCTTTGTTATGGAACTTCGGTAGTGGTCGCAACGGAAAGATTTATCTTGTGTAATGGAAGGAGACAGCTTTGAAATTCTGTAGCGCAGCAGAAATGCGATGCCATCGGCGGAGCGCGTTGCACTTCGACAGGTCAGCCTTTTCCTCTTAGCTGTTAGGACACGTGAAATTTTCTTCTCTGCCTTTACGTCGGTTCACGAATTTTTCATCGTTTTTACGTCGAACGAATTTCGTTCTTTTGGTATTCTCTGTTGAAACGTATCGATTCAGCGTGAGGCGTGGCTGCTTGGAAAAATCTCCATCGTGTACCTCGATCGATCGCTTTTATATTTAATTAATTGGGAAAAGTATACGGGGGAAGACCGCGGTCGATCCGCTTAATTATTTCAAATTTTTCTTTCACGATTCTCTTTACGACGCTGCATCCTCCGCAAGCTTAGTGGCGAGTGAAAAAGTTTCTTTAATTAAACGAACGCAACTCGATTTTCTCTTTCCCACGAAGCTTCTCATTTGCATACAAAAACGATCAGATTCTAGGTCAGAATTATTTTTAACACGGCATCTTGAAACATTCGTTACTTCGCTCCAACTGTTCACCTGTTTTATTCACAAAAATGTCCGATATATTCACTAGTACTTAAGTACTCGATGCTTCGTCACTTTTGCCAATGTACACCTAATTCGTAATAAATTATTCGACCCGCAGTGTCTAAGAGTAACGAATTTTACGTATAATTCAGGCTGGACGAACGAGCAGCAGCCCCAAAGGAACCGTACCTTCAATTGCCGCTTCTTGGTGAAGCCTCCCGATGATAAAGAAGAGACTATGGAAGAGAAGCAGCAACGAGTATCGAAATACGAGTCTATGCAAATCTGTTCAGCTCTTTTGCCAAATAATAGCGATCGTCTGGAGAGCGGTGACGTATCCTCTGAATCTTCGGACAACAGTCCTTGCGTAATGTGCGTGGCTCGCAGGATACCCCCGAACGAGAAGTCCATTGGTCCGCCCATCGAGCAGTTCACTGTCAAGTTGGACACCACGGGGAAGATTATCGCGGTTGATGTTATCTGGTTGTCGCCTCCTTACTCCGAGTACCTAAGCAAGGTAAGCGTGACCCGCAACATTCCTTATCAATCTTTATTTGGAATTGGCTATTTTTCTTAGATGCTAGGCATCGTTGGGTGTTATTTAACTTTATAAAGGGACGAATCTTTAATTACAACGGTCAAGTCCTCGAAAGAGGATGGGTTTGGTAACCGGGTACGTTTTCCTTTTTCTTTTCCTTTTCGTTTCATTCCTCGTCCAATTCGTCGTGTCCGCAGAAAAGGCTAATTTTCAGCTAGATTTAAGTTAAGTTAAGTTCTTAAGTTTCTTCTCGCGAGGCTGTCAATTTTAATTCGGTATAATTATTTGGAATATCCGATTGCAGGAGCTGATTGGCACTACGATAAAGGACTTGTGCCACCCTCATGATCTCAGTAAGCTAACTGCACATTTGAACGATACGCTTCAAGTCGGAGAGAGTACCAGTGGTGTGTACCGACTACGCGTTAGTCCTGATAAGTTCCTTAACATTCAAACAAAGTCAAAGCTTTTCAAAGCAAATGTGATGAATACACTTGTTACCGACTTCATTATGGCCACCAATACCATCATTGGGTAAGTTCAATGGTTTTATACTTTCCTTCTACATATTTTAACCATAAAGTACAAACATACGTGCATCTTCGAGAAGACTGATTCACCCTCGGATTAATAATTACCTTGATAAATGTTCATGGCTCTGAAGGTTATTGAAAAATCCAATTTGAGATTCCCTTCCCAAGTATGATTTATCACTGATCTTCTATTTAACGAGAATCTTAAGCCGTGATTAATCTGGGGTTGAATATCTTAATACATTGACTATCAAAATACGAAGATATATAGAGTCTTGTTATTATACTTGGCTTTAAAGAGCTTCCACGTATTCTTGAATCTTGCTATCTATGGTACTCAATGTGTCGACGTTAATTAAGTATAGTCGTACAATTATTAACATTACGCGAAGATACCAGGGATGAACCAGTAGAATATCGATTATTACGATAATTCCGAGATCATCGATAACTCGGTAGTTGAATGAGAAAAAAAGTAGCGAATAATTAGACGATTAGTGCACTTTCCAGTATTCGATCCTCCGCTTAATTGTTCTGTAATTGGAGTCGTTAAAGCTCTTCGGTAATCGACGTTCTACTGGATAATTAAGTTAACGTACTACTCCTTCATATCGCTTTATTACTGTTCTATTGGAACACATAGGCAAGGGTGACTATATCTACACCACATATTCTACCTATGAACTTCCCGCTGCGTTAGGTTTCCGCTAATTTATTCTATTTGCCTAATTTTACCGTGTTTATCTTATCGCTATTGCTTCAGTAACATTCTCGGACTAATTCGAAGACAGAGAAACAGAAAAAAAAGAGAAAAAAAGACGAAAGGCAAACATAACACCGAATTTGGTAGTACGTTTTAATCCCAGAAAAAGGAAAGAGAGAAAAGCGACACGAAATTTGGTTGTAGCGATTTTTTTTTTTTTTTTCAAAAGTTTTGCATAGGCTTTTCCGTGATGTTTTTTTTTTTTAGGTTTCTAGAAAGTCTTTGCATGTACCGCGACACACGGGTTTTCCTCTCGGTGTTGGAGATCTGGCCACTCTTGAAATTGAAACAATATATCCCCACAATGTGACGTTTTACGATTACGATCTCGTTTATCGCTTTTATATATCGCTTTCTAACACTTCGTCTGCTAATAATTACTATGTATCACACACACACACACACACACACACGTACACACACACGCGCGCTGATTTTAATCGTTATCTCACCACACGGCTCTTTTCAATGTTTGTTTCCACACGATCACACTTTTCATACGTTGTCGTCGAACCGGGAATGGCAAAGGTTGCAGGTGAAACTGTTACAGCGTTTATTGCTGCAGCTGTTGTTCAGGTCGAAAGTTTAAAACAACTTCTCACGTGAACCTTGCCATTTTCATTCTCGATTTACGAATTTCGCGATGTTTAACATCTACGAGGCAAACGGTGATTGCAAGGCACTCGTGATTAATTGCACTTCTGATTTCTCGACCTGAGAAAATCCCTCTGAAATTATCAACGAGAAATAACGAAATACCACTCTCCGTCTCCCTTTTTTCCCCATTTTTTTGAAACATATATTTATTTTTGATTGCAAAATAATTCGATGGAACAGTAGCCTGGAAAAATAGCCTGAAAACGAGAAATGAAGTTGAGATTGAAGTTGCTAAAGCGTTTTGCGCTCACCTGACGTTCAGGTTGTAAGTGCTGCTCAGCGGAAGTAAGATTTACGGTGATCATCGTAGAACGCGGCAAAATCTTACTTACGCTTGTGCGACTTGCATCAGGGTATGAAAGCGGTACGATTGATGCTCAAGGTTTTCTCGGTAAACAGTGCGCGCGACACGAGGAACGTCTCTTAAAAATTCTCTTCTCGACCAACGTTTAACAACGCGTGTACATCCTTCTATCAGCTTCTATCCATCGTTAGCATTTCTCTCTCTCTCTCTCTCTCTCTCGAGGAAACAAAAGTCTGTTCGATCATCGAACCCCATTGGCATCGTTTCGGTAGCTTCGACGAGGATACGAGATTGCCTAGCACTGTTCACCGCGTGCAACGCAAACCGTTACATAGTACATAGTAATGCTTAGTGTTAGACTAAACAGAAAAAAAAAGTGTTTTTTTATGGTAACTGGCAAATACATGTGTTGTTTTGTTTCTTGTCCATGATAGGGACAATGACTTAACGCCTATCGAGGGTGGTCAGCTTTCCAACAACAAAGTGTGCTCCGGACACTCTAGTAACCGTTGTGCGAATAATAGTAATAATAATAATGGTAACAATAACAATAACGTGGGTGGCCCGCTGATGTCCGTGGCGCATCTAAACGGTCAAGTGAGTGGTATCAGTAGTCGGGGGTTGGCGGGCACGTCGTCGCACACCGGTTCCGGCGCGACATTGTCAAACTCGATAGTGTTTAACGCGGCCGAGTCCTGCACCCCCCTGCCGTCGCTAAGTACCAGTAATCCGTTCAACCACTTTTCGGGGAACATGGACTTGGAATTCGAGCTCTTCCCCAGTTCCACGTGGGACTTGGATAGTAGCAGCGGGTGGGCAGATAGGCCCGAATCGAGAGCGAGCGGGCCACCAAACTCACGACCATCTTCCCAGCCAGCCCCGACATCTCCGAGTCCCCAGGGAACGTTCTCCTCTAATTCGGCGGTGGCGCCTCACTGCAGTCCCCTACGCGCGTTCAGCCCGACTTCAGGCAACGCGGCTCACACCTTCAGTAATTCGTTCCCCTTCAGTCCGCTTCAGGAATCACAGACGTCCTCCTTGACGAACAGCGCTGCTAGTAGTGTTAGTGCCACCGGAGCAGCAGCCGGATTGACGCCCAAGAGACAGGATGAAGGGAAGACCGGATGCTCGACCACCAACCAATCCACCATGGAGAGTAGCAACGCGAGAAACAACGCGGGCTCCGTCGCTGGAACAGCAGCCGCAGCCGCGGCTGGCCAAACAGGAGTCTCCGCGGCCGTTGTCGAAACTCAGAACAGTGTTGTGTCCACCGAGTCCGGTAGACTGAGAGACTTGTTGACCAAGGGGACTAGTGCTAGTGAGGACAGTCAGGACAATGCGAATAACGATTCCGAGAGCCAAAATAAGCATAGGATATTAAAGATCTTGTTGAATCAGCAAGACGAGGACGATTTTCATCCGGAGCATAATAATAAAGTGCACACGAGTCCTAGCAACATGCCGAAACCGAGCATGGAGCATTCGAAACCTTCGCTTGGAAATAATATGCTGTTACAGGTAAACAAGCTGATCATTGGCATCGAATTCCAACTGGCATCGGACTGGTGCCAATCGGTCTCTGCTTTCATCTGCTTCATATTATCGTTATTCTTTTTTTTTCTTTTTTTTCTTTTTTTTTTGTTTCTATTTTCTCAGCTTTCTTTACATACGTGGTCAACCAATATTTTTATTGCCAGGTAGTTGTTCTTTCGATATTGTCATTGATGTATTAGATATTACAAACGAGTTATCGATAGCGGTTGTGATATACTTGTCGAGTATTGTATGTCAAAGGATTAGAAAGGGCGATAACTATTGGTTGATCGCAATGTTCTGTTATGTAATTATATATAGGAACTTGTTGATTGCAATTTTACTGAATGTACCTTTTTTTCAAGAAGCTATTAAACGAAAAGAACGACGACGAGGACGAAGAAGCTCGCGCCGGATTGAAGAAGAGGAACGAACTCCTACAAGAGCTTCTGAAAGACCAAGATGACGAGAGGAAAGTACAAGGGCAACAGGTAGGTAGTCGTGAGCTAACCTGCTCGAGCTATACTTACAGTCGTTGCGTGTAATTTAAAGAAATATCAAGATCAATAATATTTATCAACGTAGCTAATAGAATGTTGTAATACGAACAGTGTAAGTCACAAACTCGGGAAGAGGATTCTCTGTTGCGAAGTCTTGGATTCCGGAACACCACGCCATCACCGTCTCAATCGAGCGACAACGTTGGCCTCGGTGGCACCACTCAGGTCGGTCAGAAGAGACCTGGCGAAGACGGTGACTTGAATATAGCAGCGAAACGACCCATGGATGGGTCACACCAAGTATCCTCTTCCGGCACGTCAACCAATGCCACCAGCAAGCTCTGGGAGAGGAATAAGATGTTAGCTTCGTTATTGGCTAAGCAGCCTCCTCAGCCAACCACTATCCCACCAATACCTGCGTCTGTGATATCGGCAACGCCTCAGGTAATTAAATATCTAATTACTTTCTGTTGGTGAATATTACTTAACATTCTCATTATGGGAACGAGATTGGTCGTGAAGTTTTGGAAGTTCAAAGAAGACGAAGTAACTAATCGATGTCTTTCTCTGTTATAAAAGGATAAGCTGGTTCGCCTAGGATTGAAATCGCAACAGCCGCAGCAGCAATCACAGTCACAGTCCCAGCCACAACCGCAGCAGCAACAACAACAGCAGCAGCAACAACAACAACAGCAGCAGCAGCAACAACAGCAGCAGCAGCAACCTTGGACAGGTGGCAGCATGCAGTCGGTTGGTGGCAATAACACGATTACGACAACCGCTACTACCACACGAACTCCTCTCCAAAGCCAGTCGAGACAACTACCTCGTCAAACAACCAATACCTACCTCACTCATATGCTAAGTCAGGTAATAGTCGATTTATTATGTTGCGCAATGATTAAGCAACGAGAATAATCCGATGTATTGTCAAGTTTTTAGAAAGTAAAAAGTAAGAGTCGTACAGAGTCGAATGAATGATCCTGAGATCTGTTATACGTGTTTGCAGCAACAAAGACCTCAAATGGGTCAAATGGATTCGGAATTTGCGGGCAGCGGGGAGTATCGTCAAAGGAGCACCGATCCTAGTAGTTGGAATAACCAGTCATCAGACCCTGATCTTTCCGATATTTTAGATCAAGTTATTGAGATCGTACCGGATGAAGCTATTACAGGTATGCAATTAATTATCACCGTTACTAAACGCACGAACCGTACCTAATGTATACTCGTCTTTCACTCCTGTATACTTATGTATCTTAAATATATAACTTTATACCTTCGCTGTCACGGCATAATTGTAAACCTTGTGATTTTGCTTTCTTTAACGATGCTACGTTTAGAGATATACTCGCCAGCAATAAGCTAACACACTCGCGAGAAGTATTTGTGCAACCTGTTACGCGTGACAGCGAAAGTAATTATCATTATAGACAATAATTTTTATTCAATAGATTCGTCTGCGATAGCAAATCTCCTAGATGTAATCGAAACGCCGCAGGACAACGCGCTGAACGAGAAAATGGCGATTAACGCGATACAGAAGTCGTTGATGTTATGCGAGACTGCCGTAAATCCAACGTCTTCCACCATAACAATTCCTGGCACGCCTCCAGCTTACTCCACCGCAGTAAGTTGATACCCTTTTCGTGCATATTTTTATAATGCGCCTGCAGTAATCATAATGTACGTCTAAATACGCATATACTCTTAGCAGTAGCATCATCGGTATTATTTGCCTCTTGTACTTGTTACAACGTCATACGTGCTCGTTATAATTAATATTTACGAACGATATAATTCTTTAGTTGGGTACCACACCTGTAACGACGAGTCATAGTTACCAACCACCACCGATGTATCAGCAACAGCCAAGGATGAGGTTTAACACGCAACCAGGCGTCAGGCAGACGACCGCTCAATTCACGCAGCAGCAACAATTACAGTTGCAGCAACAGCGAACGAAACTGATACAGCAGCAGCAGCAGCAACAATTGAAGCAGAGGTTGTTGCAGCAACAGCAGCAGCAGCAATTACTCATTCCTTCCAATGCTACAGCTACGGACCAAATTACCACCGGCATTCACAATATCGATAATCTTCTAAACAATACTGTTGCGCCAAATGTATCGTTGCAGGTAATCATAAAATTAGATCGAATTATCATATTGAAATACAAAGGAGAGATTTGCATAAATCATTATTGTTCTCAGCGGTCGAGTGTCCCAGATTCACAAGTGTCTCCAGGTTATGGGGGATCCGTCCAGATGCCTTCCGGTCACCGACTTGCTCATTCGTACTCTCATCCTTCAACGTTACCACAACAGTGAGCAACCTCGAGATAAATCGAATTAATAATTATTTCACGATTATTTAACCATCGTTTTTGTTTCCAGCCCTATCGTAAACAGTAATTTTAACAGTGGTCAACAAGTGTCTGCGGCTGCACGACTCTCGCCGCATTCTCCCGCTGGTATTTTGTCATTCTCACATCCGCAGCCGCTGTCACCACGAGTGACGCAAGTACGTTTCACGAGTCGTTTAATTAGAGAAGGCGTCCTAAATGCTTGACGCGTAGTTTCATTTGTATTTTTAAGTTTTATTTTTATTTAATCGAAAGGGGTGCACGCGTGGCTTCTTAGAATAATTTCCATTGCTTACTTGTAGCCACGTTTACATAGCTTTCGTTTTTGTTTACGATTTAACAACTTCAGTATTTAATTTTCCTTTTACGTTTTGTGATTAAGGGCAACTATGGTAATACCCCGAGGTTATTCGCCGTTAACCAGGTGAGATCGCAACAACAGCCTACCGCTCAGCAGCAGTTGCAGCAACAACAAAGATCGATGCCGTCGCCAGGGACACCAGCATCTGCTCGGCAATCTCCGTTTCCGGCGGAAACCTTTCCCCCACCTACGTCTCCTACAGCTAGCCAATTTCCACCTGGTCCTAATCCTGGTGCACCAAATCCTTCAGCCCAATATCGGTTGCAACGGACCACGTCTACACCTTCAGCTACGACTCAGTTGCCAGGTAGGTTGATATTCTGCTCGAAATTCCTTTTTATCCTCGGTACAGCTCTGCATATTACGGATATATACATTGAGACTATTTTTTCGGTCGCTGCTACTAATCCTGCAGTTGTGCATTTATTACGTTTAAATCGTGTATCTTCGATTGTACAGGTTGTGATACCTTTTGATGTGATCGTAATATGTAAAATTGTGTTATTAGTATTTGCGAATTGAACGTTTAAAGAAAGCGAGAGAGAGAGGGAGAGAGAGTTCGTAGATGATTTTTAATGTGTAAGGTATTTGTGTAATTATAAATATTAACTTCACCCGTATCTAGTGCAAAGCGTTCAAGAATTCAAAGACGGTGATCGCGTTGTGATTTCGTTTATCGTGTCGGTGTCGTTATGAATAATCGGTACTCTACATTAGTGTGATTAATTTTAAGTATTCATATAAGTAACACAATAATGCGCATATGGAACGGAAGGTGTGATTTAAATAAATATTTTCTGTCCACGTAGGTAAGTATACCACTGTTTCAAATATGTGTTTCTCTGTTGTATGCAATATTCTGAAACAGAACAAGTACGTTTAGATTAGATAGATATGCGTATAGATGTTTTTATTAATTTTTCACGTCAGTATTTTTTGTCATGTTTACTTGATAGCAGTTGTTCAAACTAAATTTTATGCTACAAGCCTTAAAAACAAAAAACTCTTCATATTAATTCAACGTTATTTTCCATTAATCTTGGAATAAATTTAAAATAGAAGTATCGTAAATTCAACCCCGTTTTAAAACTAAAATGTCGCTATTAATTCGTAATATTCTTGCAATTTTAAATCCCGTTTAAAATGATATAAAGAACAATTGAAAAGGGAGGAAAAATAGCGTGAGCAATTTTTAAATCATCCACTGTAATATGCACTTAATATCCGTATCGGCTTTTAACAAATAATTTATAATAAAACAAAAAGAACACCAACAACTTTACCAAAGCTATACCGTAATAAAACTAAAAAATTCTAATCTCGAAGCGGAGCATGGAGGAAAGCTGACTAGAAGCGTTATAAACGTTTTTACTATCAGATGCGAGGAACAAGGAGATAGACAAGCTTGATGTTGCAGGTGGGGTAGGTTCGCCCCGGCACTACGGCGGAGTGAGTAAGGAACAACCTCTTCTTTCACCTAGTCATCCACATTCGGGTTGCAACCCGGCAACACCGACTCACAATCAACACAACGTAACGAATACCCAACAACACTTCTCCAACCAACAACATTCTTCTATGATATACCACACGACCGCCAATACTATCAACACAGCTGACATGCAGAACAATCAGTTCTGTTACGATCGGACGTCTGTTCCACTCTATTCGTCAGGGCCTGGGGACACGCAGGACGCCAGGCCTTTGCCTCCCGGTAATCCTGTCAATCACCAATTGGGTGGTAAGTCATGTGACCACTTAATGTCATGTGACCATCACTTCGTCATCATCACACCCCCTTCCGTATATGCCCTTCTTTGTATCTAAAGTACCTCGTGTCACGAAATCGGCTACAACGGCATGAGACATTCTGTTTTCCTTCTTTTTTTTTTTTTTTGTTGGTACATGGAAAAGCACATCATTCTCTATCACCATCCACCCATCGATGTATCTACCTAAGCAAGTGTAAATATAACGACCATCCAAGTTGCAGCGTTTTTTCATGCGTTCAGTGTACCCACTGTCATTATAGACGCCCTGTAAATCTCCTCTTTTACATCTCATGTGGGAAATGGTGCTTGTTGCGTGGCTAATCAGACACTGTGGAGTTCCTTGCGTTTCATTTAACGTCATTCGGACCACTTCACCTCTCGTTCAGCGACGTCTCATTCTCGCCCATTCCGGTGTTACCGTCATTACTCTATTCATCAAGGATACATCATTCCTGC